TTAAATCATAGTGACAAATTTTATATCTATTTTTAGGAATATTTGAAAACATTGAGATATATTAAACGTTTCGTTTTAAAAATACGTAGTAAAGTAATGATAAGACTAATGATTATAATTTCTTTGAGGTATAATAATTTATATACACATTTAAAAGTATAGTATAATTTATACACTGAAATGCATTGACTTTGCCGATTCCCTAGAACTGAACAAACGCACAGCAGCTGTGATCTTATGTAAGATGGCGTACCATGCGCAAGTAAGATGCGCGAAAATCATTCTGATACCAGCCGTCTAATAATTCGCATCGAAGTGGGTATTAAATAAATTTGTATTATGTAGAAAAAACATTATTTTGTTTGAAATCTAGCTATAATTTGTTTGTAAAACTGTCGGGATATGCGCCATACTTCCGACACTTTATCGTTAACTACAATAAGCACTGAAAGTGTTTACGAAATAAAATATGGCAAATAAAAAATCTGTATTTTGATAATAAACAGCTTCAATCTTATTACGCTTCAATGACTGTGCCAATGCCTTTTTTTTAACAGCAGTATGTATTTTACGTTACATTATTCGTAGTTATATTTCTTCATTTCTATGATTTGTATGTGTGATGCAACAGTGCATACAGAATTGGCATTCATTTAAACATTGTATATAAGTATTGGTTATAAACATATAATTCCAAAACCATTCTTCATGAAGAATAAAGGGCATAATATGAAGTGCTTTATCAATTACCAATTTATCGGTACTAAATAAATGCCGTAGCCGCTTCGATGCAAGTTGTTCAACGGCTAATGTTAAAATGATTTTCGCGCATCTTACTTGCGCATCGTACGCCATTTTTCATAGGCTACAGCCATTGTGCGTTTGGTTAGTTCTAGGGATTCCGCAAAGTCGATGCACTTCAGTATACTTACGTATTACTGAATTACATACTAGGGAATCGTTATCTTATTCATGCTAGTACATATGCTTTGTTAAATCAAGGCTAGTAGAAATATAAACTGGTATAAAGTAGTTGGAACAGTAGGTGTGAATACAATTTAACATTAAGTGTATATAAAAATCACAATATAACAAAAATGTCATATTTAAAACGCACTTTTCGTGAGTATATCATTCATTTATAAATTTCGGATGTTAGAATATCTGTAAATCGTATTCTTATATAACTATTACACATTATATATTTTACAGCTGGCTTTCAAAAATGGGCATATAATTTTGCTGGATTTAATCAGTATGGTATGAAATATTTACATATCAATGTAATAAATGACAGATTTCATGATTTTAAAATATAAAATGTAATATAACTTTTAAAAAGGCAATAGATTTTATTTCAGTTTACACTCTAAATTATTAATTTTACATAAATTTAGGTTTATATCGAGATGACCTTTTGCATGAAACTGAGGATGTAAAAGAAGCATTAAAACGAGTACCACCTCACATAATAGAAGAACGTGATTTTCGTCTTGTTAGAGCTATGCAATTAGATCTCCAGAAAAAGGTTTTGCCAAAAGAACAATGGACCAAACTGGAAGAGGTAATATAATATAAATGATTAATAGAATTCAATCTATATATACTTCTTCATAATCCTTATTTTGAATAAAAATATTTTATGGATATAATTTATAATATTAAATAGGATATACATTACCTCCTACCACATGTGCAAGATGTAATAAGGGAACGTAAAGAAAAAGAAGCATGGGAAGCACAGTAAGGTGTAATAATGTGTTAGTGAATATTACATTTTCCTTATATTTAAATTGTAACTTCAAAGTATTGGATTGTATATATGATATTGAATAAACTATGTTCAATTAATTTCTATTGTTCTAAATATATTAATTATCATATAATAAGTGTTACATGTGCATTAAAATAATTGAATTGTAATTGAACACCTTGTATATGTTTAATAGTTTCCTATAGACAATGTATGTTCAATTCTT